AGCCGAAGAAAATACAAATACCAAATAAGTTGTAACATTTACCTAGTCCAGATAACTAATTATTTAGCTAACATTTATTTCAATATTACAATTAAAAAAGAAATTGTCTGGCTGCAGTAACGTTTCAAACGTTACCCCAGCAGGAAATGTTTTTTTGAAATAACTAAAAAAGTTTAAGTGAAACAAATTTAAAAATGTGCCTAACAATTACAGAAGGGGAGCAACTAATTATCTATAACGTTTAAATGACCATTTTCGACATTATTTTGCTGGGGTAACGCACACGCTGCCACCCGGGACGATAAAAGAAGATAAAAATGATTACTGCGGATTAACCTTAGGAGATAGCCATATACTATGGCGGAGTTTTTAAAACCGACTTCAAAAAGATATAGCCTTTATGTTCTACTGTATGTTTTTTTTATGTATGTTCACCGATTACTTCGTCAATGGACCGATTTTTTCTAAAATTCTTTTTTTATTAGAAAGAGCATAGTCCTGTCATTGGCACGAAGTCAGGATCTGATGAGGGGATCCCAGGGAAATCGAGGGTAACCCTCCAATTTTATATGCACGTATTATGTGTTTCATATATTTTCTAAAGATATTCTAGTATTTATGTCTAGTAGTCATTATCTTGTGTTAATGAGCAAATGATGGAAGGTACAACTACTAAACGGTTAGGAGTTGGAGGACAGTTCTTAAAATACCATATGTATGTTTAGACTTTTAGTTGTATTCTTTCAAGTCATTCAGGCGAGCTGATGATGGAAGGTAAAAACTCCTTAACGGTTAGGAGTAAGATGAAACAGACAAAGAAGAAACAGAAAAGAAAAGACATTCAAAGCTGAGGGTTAGATTAGTAACCTGCACTACATACCTAGCTTGTCTTAGTACTAAAAAGGGAAAAATAAAATATTTTATAAAAGAAAACTTGAACCGGTTTAAAAAGTAAACATCAAACAAAAACTCCCTACCTAAAAAGACTAAAAAGCGAAAAATACAATGAATTATTTGTGTTATTCAAAAATGTGGGAGTTTTTCTAACAAATTAAATCAAAAACTTTAGCTATAGTAATTATAACTTACCTATTCTCAATAAAATTCTTAATGAAAATATGAAATAAGATATACTATCACCTGGGGTCTATGGCGGCGGGGTGAGGAGTCTATGGACCTGGGGTCCATAGACTCCTCACCCCGCCATTTTTCTACTATCAAATGCTTGTATTAACATTCCTTTTAAATCACTCTCTCTCTCTATTGGTGAAAACCGCACTAAAATACATCGCTTAGATTTAAGATCTGATCGTACTATATCAAGAAGTTTTGGAAAAAAGTATTGTTACACATTTTTCAGTCTCGCTCAGAGCGTGTAAGTCGCAATAAAGAATTTCGTTTCAATGTAAGTGCAAAATTCCTACCTACCAACCAAATTCAATTGAAGTCCTTTCATTCTTCAGCGACTTGCGAGCTCTTCTTCTTGCGCCTCGCCTGTTGCTTTAGATAAAGATTGGCCTTTACTCCGCATGGGAGAAGATAGTGTAAATAATTACCTTTAGATTCGGTACAGATACTTTATAGGTATAAAGTAGTCGATGATTACTTACGAATACTGGTTTATCGATTGTATACTTACAACATACAGATCTCCAGTGCTGTGTGCATCACCTCACTTACCTATTAGAATAGAGTAATAATATGCTTTATTGTACACAAATTACAGTATGTTGATTAAATATTACAGACGGATATGTACAATGGGCGGCCTTATTGCCAATAGCAATCTCTTACAGGCAACCTTTGGAACGACAAATCGACAGTAGTCATATACATATAGTCTGCGTTGACCCTAACATTTCTTATGCGTTGACGCTAAGATTTTCTATAACCTTATTAAATGCTTACAATATTTTGAAACATTGGCACTGCCAATATATTATTGAACTCGACTGTACCTACCTATATTCTTTTCTTTACTTAATAAAACTTGACAATGTACATGACAACATCTATATTTTATTAAAATTTGTGTTACATACAATACAAAGTCATTTGTTATTTTTCATTAGCTATGCGAAACAGTAAACTTCTACTAATCTATTTTGTTAGTACAATTACAGGTTATATGCATAAATTAAATAAATATCATCTAATCTTATCAGTCCTTATAAATATGATACTTGTTGATTTAGAAATATTTGCCCTTTTCTAAATATAAGTCAAATGTCCCACAAAAATCTTATAAAAACTGTAAGGCCTTGTGAGCCAAAACTGAGTCGTTGTATTTCCGAGTCTTTGAGTCATTAAAGTATCACTCACGAGTTCACGACGCAACGCGTTCACATGTCTATAGGTATACTTAATATTGTTGTAACAAAAACTTACTATGGTTATTTTATGTACAGTCTGTTTCATATATTAACGCAAAGCTTTTAACATCATATTCTGCACTTTATTTCTAGACGATTTGCAAAATATGAACAAAAAATATTCAGTGGTTTAGAAACAGGAATTTTTTTTTGTTTTCGTAAATTGCAACATCATGTGTACATGCAGTCATAATACATTGACCTCAGGCGGCGATCAGCTGTAGGTACCTATACGCGGCGCGGTAATCACACGTTGCCGCTTTTACTACACCCGAATCGAACGAAATATGTTGATTATTACGTCATCACGATGCAACACGCGTTTTTAATTAGTTCATCCAGTAAGGACAGTCAGTCGGCCCTTGGCCACCGGCGAGCTTATGCTATTCCGTATCCTTGTAGATGCGCTCACGACAAATAACCGTAATAATAATATTGTTGTTGTTTATGAGATACATATTTGTTTAGAGAAGTTTTCTTGTGGTAATAATTGTTTAGTCTTATTGCTTTCGTCATAATACACGGCAATGGTGTGAACAATTAATGTTATCGTGTGCGCAAGACTTCGTAATGTAAGGAGTCCTGCTAATTTTATTTTGAAAAGTCACTATTAGGTTCTGTGTGTAGTGTAGTGTGAAACTGAGTGCATTATCAGTCTTTTAATTTTATTGGGTTATCGATATCAACATCCATAATGCCGTGAGTGACCTTCACAGCCGCGGAATATCCTGCTATGATGTTAATTTATGGAAAACTCTATCAAAACGCATCTTTTGCTTTACGGACACGTATGGAGTCAATCGTGTATGTCCTACAGACTGCCGAATTTTTGTAAGGGCGGTACAAAGATTACGAGACAACCAAGGTACCTACTTTTTCAAGGAGTGACGCGTACTGCTGGGTCGGAAGCTAGTCGAGCATTCCCGAAATAAACACGTGAATAAAATCGTATTCTTTATAAATAGATTTTTAAAAGCAAGTGAAGTGATTGGTAGGTAGGTAATAAAAATGTAAAGTTCGCGGCGGCGGCGGCGTCGTTTTGATGTCGCCGACATTGCGACGCTGCCGTGTAGGTACAGTTCACCGACTCATGTTATCAATGGTGTTCTAATTCGGAAATTATTTTATTGTATTTAGTTTGTTCTAAATTTGCATTTCTGTATTTTCGTACTAATTTTTTATTTTTTTATTTTAACCGACGTATATTGAACCGTGTTATCTGTTATTTCATTTTTTGTGATATCTATTTATACACGTTGTATATTCCACATTCTTACGCCTTAAGAATCAATAATGGGGCTGGGACCAATGCAATGCAATACTCGTAAGGAAGATACTAAAGAATGAACACCTGAACACTTTCTAATTGACTTAAGAGTTGATTGTGTAGGTACAGATTCAAGTGTAGGAACATCAAGGTAAAGAAGCAATAATAATGTTGAATTATTAAAAAAAAAATGTTCTCTTAATCTTAAATCCATACATTAGGTACTAGTAGGTACCTACCTACATCAAGTTTAAAGCAAATTTTTTGGCCTCCTTGTGAAGGTTGTTACTTAGATATATTCACCCATCGCGTTATTATTCTAAGCATCTATCTATCTAAAGATTTACACTGAGTTAAGTATCTACTTACATATAACGCAGAAAGATCAAATGTCTTAGCTACTGTTATCTCGGTCGCATATAATGTTTAGTTACTAGTTGATTGATTATGATTGTACGGCGGTTTGATAAAAAAGTCGTAAAAAGGGTTTTATCGCTTTCACACATACTAGGGATATTGAAAGACTGATAGGGAGGTTTAAAAAGGCGATACGGGCCCAGTAGTATTTCTACTGGTTGAAGAATGATCAAAGAAAGTGTTTGATAAATACAAATTAAAATCATGTTCTTAAGCGATATACTTTTGTATGTGAAGAAAGTACTGTTTCATATTAATATCCGTACCTACGTAGAGACAGATAGCATCAACTGACAAGGCCTATTTCTTAGCCTTTCAAGGATTCACCGTTCGGGTGTCGGGTCCATCGTGTACGTTATAGTATTTTCTAAGGGTTAGTGTTAATCACAATAACAATAACTATGTAGATAAACAGGCACAGGTACTTAACATGAACATTACAAGAAATGCAAACCTAAGCACCAACTTATTTTATAATTTCGTTTGAAATGCTTTCAAAGAGCTAGCCAAGTGCCTTTTAAGACTTTAAAATAATATATAGGTACCTATTTTTTAGCCTTGTGCACTACAGTTATAAAACAAGATTTTGCGATGGTGAAATTCGTAATAGCTTTACATTCATGAGTCTGATTACTTGTATCTATGATCTATGATTACTTGTATCTATATACTTGTATCTATGCTTGTAAACTACCAAGTTTACAAGCATAGAGCAAATCATGTAAAGTTATTACGAATTCTGTAATAATACACTAATATGATGTGACTACAAAACAACAGGAAGATACTACCTATAGTCAATACGGTTATACTATTAAAGACGACTTTAAAAGTAGTTAATCGGGTTGACCGGATAATGATACAATCGAAACTATAAAAGTTCATTTCATTGTATCATGCAGAACGGAGTGGAATGAGTTACAGCTGGATTTATACCTACATATCTAATGGTCGTTTGTTTTCGTAATTGCAGAGATTGCACTATTCTTTGGCTTATTAATATAGTTGGTGTATATGTGGTAGAGCATGCCAGCGGTGAGAGCGCCGACTGCTGTGCCTTGTGCTATTACTCGGAATTGCATGAGAAACACGCTGGTGCTCATAGCTCCTCGGCGTTTGTACGAATATGCACCGTACCCGCAGGCTGCTAGCAGACCACCAATACCTGTAATTAACAAAATTGAATTATTTTATAATTATGTAGTGATATCGTTCCAAACGTCCCCTGCTTATTTAATATTCGAATTAGGCGTTCCAAGTTAAGGCACAAGGAAAGTCCTCCTGACCAGGTGGACAGTGTGAAAAATGATTGACATGTTAGAATATCTAATACTTTTTTTTTTTTCAAATTAGTTAAATTTTTTCTCCATAAGTATTCATTTTAATAACATAACAACAAATTTAAAATAACCACTCGTATGACTAATGGAGTTAAAGAAGATTGTTCTTATACCACACCGTAAAGCGGCTTGTAATAAAAATTGTTTAAATTTCGAACAGATTTTGGACCTAGTTCATACAGATTAAGTCTAGTACCTGTACCTACACGTGTTCATTGTATGAGGACATTATAACATGCATTGATGTCACGAAAAAGAAAAATGTAAAATTACAATAGATCGATATGTATGTACATTGTACATACTTAGTGGGCCCAGTGTGAGTTTATTTCCCATCAACGCGCGCACATCGTCTCGACGGCGAACGCGTTCGGCGTTGAGGTTGGTAAAGATTTCAGTGTGGGACACTCGCAACGCAACACGCAGTCACCGTGACGATCGAGTTTATGTGAAAAAAGCTCACATTAGGCCGGCAGGTATTCAACTTCATACTAACGTGATGCAAGTTAGTATAAATGTAATGTACGATATGTATGATGTAATGTTCCATTCTTAGAGCTAACAATAGCAATGCTTTTGTCAGCAGTGAGAACGTTATCTTCAATGACTACAGTAAGAGTTAATGTATTAGTAGACAATATATACACTCAGATTTCTTGCTATTTATACATATTTTTACTAATCACGAACCAACCAACATAACACCAAATATAGGAATCAAAAACGCACGCACCTTCCTAATCAAAGTGTCTCCATGTCAAATTTGATTAAAATCGGTTCAATGGTTTAGCCATGAAAGCGTAACAGACAGACATATTTTTATATTATTAGTAGGGATAGGGTATGGTAATAATACCGAAGTTGTCGGTAAGTAGTTAGTGGTTCATCGGTAGTTGGTACATACGTAGATAGACGATATGAAGAAGTTAGCTGGGATGGACTGTGCCACGGTGCACATTCCGAGAAGCCTTGTAAGGACTTGACTGCAATATTCTGCTGATTAGTTTATCTTTTAGAAGTACCTACTAAGTACTCTTCAATAATGAGATAACAATACTTACCAATAACCATGAAAGGAGATTCTTTGGTTTTGCGCGCCAATTTCTCGCTCTGAGTCTCCTCGTGGTAATCAAAAGTGGATTTTTCTTGCGACATGTTTACAGCTGAAACAGAAAAAATATAAAGTTGGAATACTGGTCACCATCCTCCAAATGCAGCTCGGTCTAAAAAAGTTTATTGGTAATTAAATAGATACTTTTAATGAAATTTTTGATTAATCTATTTGGTTCGTTTATAAGCCCTAAGACTGTACTTAAAACCTTGTTTAATATTATCGTATAGGTAGGTAGGTATTATTAAAAATTGTCTTCCTTACACAGCATTGAAGCTTAGTTTCAATGCTGTGTAAGGAGGACAATTTTTAGTCGTCATTAAAAGGTACCGTGGTACGAATAGCTTTATAAGATTGTTTGGACATGACATCCATTGTATTCTTCATTTGAGTGAGCCCATACCTTACTTATAATTATTATGTCGAGTTTTATTATAGACAATTTCCGCATTAAGGAATTATCTGAATCAGTCAAAAGCATGAACAAATTGCCTTAGTCAAGGGCCGGCCCTTGATAAGGGCAAGATTATCTTTCTTTCTTTTATAGTCCAGAAAAAAATCTAATTTAATCTCACAAGTCACTTCTACTTCTTTGACTTAAGATGGTTATTATCATAATATATTATATATTTATATTGTGATAATAATATACATATTATTTTTTATATTACTTTTTAAGTAATAAAATCCATTATTTATGTAGGTAGGTATTGTAGGTTCTAATAATGAGTAAAAGGAAATCTTCGCCCCCAGTGTCTCAACAATCGCCATTTTTTTTTACGCTGTAAATTTTACTCTTTTTTGCATTTTGGCGGTCCTTTGCACTTGGCATCTAGAGCCACGATCCTACTTGCTTTATTCTAAAGCCGCCGCTCATAGTTATCTACCAATAATTAGGTATAAACAGAACACAGATTATATCATGGCCGCACTGAAGAGGGTATGTATACCCTCTTCAGTGCGGCCATGATATAATCTTCTCTGGCATTTGTGTGCTTACGTAATCATTGCTTGGAGATACATTACCATTTATTTTACAATTCAGTACCATGCCTAATAATACTTCTCAGATCTATAGTTCGGTGCGCCCTTCCCACGATTTATATGCACCTATTAAATTCCTTTCTATCTTTCTATCATCATCATCATCAGCCTATCGCAGTCCACTGCTGGACATAGGCCTCGATTTAATCGATCTAAGTGGCGTGCAATGGGAGAGGCCTATCTTTCTATGTTTGTTACAAATTAAAGTTGGTTGTTGCCGTTTTAAACCCCAAATAAATCGTTTTAAACGGTTGAAAACTCGCCCACAAAAATAAAAGAACTGTGTTTTACACTTGTGTGTATGTCTTACACTTCGTTATGGGCAATTTTTGGTGACCTGAGGTCATGTTTCGTTTTAATTAGTTTATAGAAAATCAATCAAAAAACCTACATATACCACAATACCACCTACACGAAAACTTAAGTATGTAGGTATGCCTACCTATACTTATTTATTATATTATATTACACACACTAGATTAGAAAACATCATTAATACAATGCCGTTCGTTTTTCTTGCGCATGAAAGAGACAAAGAGACAAGTGTCTTCAAGGCCGTCGTGACTGAAGACGTCGTCAACGAGAGTGCGAGAGTGTGAGTTTGATTTTAAACCGAATCAAATTGATTATTTATATCGCTCGAAAACAATGAAAAAATGTTTATTTACCAACACAGAATTTTTAACTATTCAATATAGTTTTTATAACTTAGGTAGGTAATACCTACGCTTTGTCGGACGGACCAAATAGAATTAAACCCGCTAAGTATATCAATATATCACAAGTATAAAAAATGTTTACACAGTTTATAGGTACTCCGTCATATCCCTACCAAGGTAAAATCAAGAAAATGTAGTCATAATTAAGAGAAACAAAGTCATCAATATCAATCGTTTTAAATAGGTACCTATTTCGGTAACAATGGTTTATTTCGGTTTTAAACATATTTTTTTTCGTTTTAAACCGATTGGTTTAATTGGTTTTAAACCGGCCTTACATCTATAAACTCGATCTTGACGTTCACGCTTGATTTCGTTCGACGATGCCTAGTAGGTGTACGAGTATGTCATAATAATATGTATACACATACTTTACGTACGAAATCATTGATTGTCATCTGCGTGTTACATCAATGAATAAATCATTGTTTTAGCCGCATAACGCCAGTTGCTGATAAGAGATAGTTAAACACTGATCGGATATCTTTGTTGTGACGTACTATCTACCTACCGACGAATGAGTAAAATATTATAGATAAAATATATTTTTATTACTTATTTCGTAGCATCGCTAACAGAACTTGTAATTAACTAAATTAGAAAATAATAAATTGAAGGTTAAGAAAACATTAAAGAATTATATTATATTTATTTTAAACATTAAAGATTGCGACCTCGGCATGTGCATCAACAATGTCGAGCATTCAAAAATACTTAGTGAATGTACGAAAATAACAGTAAAAGTTTTTGGATTTGTAAATAATAACAATAAATACATTGCAATATGAATGTTATGAAAATATTAGTATTACTTGGTGGGAAAAGTTAAGTTAAATCGGCAATTTGAAATAACTAGATATTAATTTACAATTAAGGTAATTGAGGAATACCTTATTCAAATTTACATAAAAACATAACGCGTTTAATAAGCAATTCCAATCAATGAGGAGTTATAATAAAACTATCTACTACGTCATTGACAAAAAATTATGTAACTTTTGACTGGGTACGCTCATACAAAGAAACCCATTAAAAATTTTCATACTCGTATAAGTATACCTTCGCTGCGAACGAACTTCGTAGCTTTGGGAAAGGACCATAATTATCAAAAAAGATGTCGGCACTGCAGTGTTCAAAGTAAGAACATCATTTGATCGATAAGACCAAAAACTAGTTTCAATATTGCTTAATATTGTCAAAAATTCACAATGTTTACACAATACTGAATTTTTCATAGCAGTTTTATGATTTAATCTAATAAATCAGTTATACATTGCATGCCATACATAGGTAGTGCCTAAAAAAGAACTACAATGAACGCTATGAACTACATTGCTTATTGGAATCTTGCTATAAAGTTTTCACAAAAATATCTTAACAGATGTTCATGGTTAATTTGAGATGCTAACAATCGTAAAAATCTGAAATATATCTATTGACGTACTGTCTTGACGTAGCGGCTTGCAAGTAAAAATCGGATGTGAAAAATTGACGCAGGATTTTGTATCTGCATAAAATATGATTATCGTTGAAGTGTACTGGCGACAGCATAGATACAGATGGCTCCTCTAATTACATATTTTCAGTTCTGTACCTAAATATGTAAACAAGACCAGTTTTCTTTTTGTTTCAGTTTCCTTAACCTAATAATTAGAATATTTACTTACAAGAAATCTTGTAAATATTCAAATGAATTACCCCCAAACAGAAATCGCATTAGTTACTAGAGTAACTAATGCGATTTCTGGTCCGGTGATGCGGTGTGATTATATTATTATTATTATTTCACAGTTCAGCCTGTGACCACAGCCCAAGCTGGTCAGAACTTCAGATACCTAATTCAGTTTTCGAGACGGCGTGCGGTTTTTGGTCGGTTCGAGTCCGACATAACCGGTTATGTCGGACTGGATCCGAGGCGATTTCCACACAGAAAAAAAGGGTATTTCTAAATTGAAAATATATTTATTTAACTTATAGTTTAGGCGCATGTAGCTCTTGCAATCGATTTATGTGGGTTTATTTATGTTTGTTTTTTTTTTTTAAAAGACAACCCGCATTAGGAATATATCCCGTGACGCGGGGGACTTTATAAACGTACATGAAACGGACACAAAGAACACCCAAAGATCTCAGTGTCGTCGTCGTGTGGGGACGGACCCACAACACTCAGCGTAGTAGTAAGCGGCGTGGCGACCGCTTAAACCACTACGCCATCTGTGCAGTTTGATATCATATTTCTTTATATTTATATTCATTATCATTTCATATCTTATCCTTTTGCTCCTATTGTTTTATTATAAAAATGTTCTTATCACAAACACATGTATGGCCGTATTCGCACACGACACTAGCAAGTGTCGTGTTCATATTCGCACACGACACTTGCTTGCTAGTGTCGTGTGCGAATACGGACATACCGCGTAAGTGTAGAAAAAACTTACTAATATAACTATTTATTTGTTTATTACCATAAATAATGATTCACGATCACGAGTAAATTACTACATTTTGTGGTTTATATTTTAGTTTTAAAACGACCGAATGTATCAGAAGACATTACAATCTTTTCACAAAAACCGTTGGTATTAATTGAGGTAATGTGTTTGTCAGGTTTACATTAATGAATACGACATGTATGTATGTATTTACCTAGTTTAGTAGACAAATGAAAAATATTAAAGTTAGGTATTATCATCTAAGGTACGTCGTTGACTTTTCTTACTAAAGTAAGTTGATAGTAGTAGTACTCGTAGTTCAGATGCCAGTCTCTCACATAGTAGCAAACATGTCGAGATTAATTTTATAGCTATGTAAGAGAGAAATAATAAACTATTATTATAGTAAAATAAGAAAAAAGCTAACAATTTATTTTAGAAAGTGAGTAATCCAATACTAGGTATACGTATGTATCTATTTATGTCACTGTGTTACATAGACTTTAGTGTACCTACTTACCTATATGCGGGCAATAGTTTGTCTTTTACTTATGTTTCAAAAACGAAAAAGATAACTTAGAATGTATTTTGTAGGAGCATTATAAAAATATTTTTTACCAAAAGATGATCATGACATGATGCAATTATGCAAAGAGGTACGAAACAATAACACTAATAAAAAATTGGTGCTGGTTAAATGTGTAAAATGTTTAGCATGTAAGTGTAATACATGCTAAACAATTAACACATAGAATAGAATAGAATAGATATGGTTAGGTATGATCTGTCGGTATGGTTACGATCTATTTTTATATAACTAAAAGTTTTAAACGTTCTGGAATGCTATCAAAGTTATAAAATCAACTTAAGTCCTAGATTTAACATTTAAAACGCTACATGCCTAGTTTATTTTTTATACTTAAAAGTCGAACATATGTACTCAATATTTCAAAATGATAAGATATATTGTTAGTCAGCAACCGGTATAATTTCAGAACTTATCAATTAATTAATAACGGTTTGCAGGTAGATACTTCCGATGTTTAATATACTTATTGGCTTATTGTCTGACATAGGGAAAATGGAAGACAAGAACAGTCTGTTTTGCACCAAGAACTACTGTAATCTACTCTTCATATATGGCGAAATATTTTGTTTAAGAAATAAATCTATTTAGGTATTAATTAAATATGTACTAGTTAGAGATATGGTTTTATTATCGAAATATCTGTAGTTATATTTTTCTACTTCCTACTAACAAGAAAGTTGTTTTGAGATTGTTGATACCTTAGCCTTTAAGTATTATCCAAATGCCTAATTTTATCTTTAATTTTGTTACTTTCCTTTTAATTGTTTTATTTTATTTTTGTTTTTATTCGTGCTACTATTAGTGCATGTTGTGACACCTTAACATGCTGTGCATTTAAGCTAGTTTTTAGGATTTTTTTATTTCATTTGCATAAGATTTAATGTAACAGCAACTGGGTGGCTTTATTAAATAAATAAATAAATATTATGTACTGTTGATAGCTAAAGGTGAGTCGAGCCCATCCTTCGGTAGATACTTAGTCTTATCTCCAATTGTTAGTGTTCAGATATGCCAAATATAATCGAACAAATTTTAAAATATTTCAAAGAGGTACAAAAAGTTTATTCAGTAGTTGTCTTTGATCTTTTCGTTTACATTTCTATTTAGTTCATTATTTTCGTAACTCCGTTTAACACACAGTTAAAAAGGGAATCATAATCAAAACTTACATGTGTATCACTGGTTTCAATTTCAAGCTCACTACGCAATGGAGTCTAACTAACTACAAAGTCAAGGACGCACAGAAAATGATACACTTCACCACGGCTACACGTGATCGACTAAATTGAATGAATCTTGTGATAGCTAATACGCTATTCGCGGACCGAGTGAGTTATGACATCATTTAAAAATATTCCGGGAACTCCATTATGTGAGAAAATTGTAGTTTTGCCTTATAGCTTGTAATCTTATCTTGCCTTCAAACACTTCAATTTAGTTCGTAAATAAATGCCCTTGCGGCAAGTTTGTAAAACCCTTTAGATTTTAAAAGGTTTAGAAAGACTGCATAATTTCATTTTTTTTAAATACCTATGTATATTATTATTTATCTAAGCTTAATTACGTTCATAAGTTGAGTCTTTGGTGAGATTTGGTGTTATCTTGATACAATCGGAAAAAGGAAAGGCGAAGAAGATAGAGTCCGTTCCGTTAGTACAGCTGGTTTTCAGTAAAAGTTTAGGGGTTAAAAACGCGGGAAAAAAGAAGGAAGAGAAGGTGGAAGGACAAAGAGTAAGAGTGACATTTCGTCAAGATCGATTATATCTATAGACGTAAGGTCGGTTTAAAACCAATTAAACCCAATCCATTTAAAACGAAAACATAAACGTTTAAATTTGAAATAAACATTTTTTTCGATTTAATACAGTTGGTGTTGATGACTATATTTTTCTTGATTACAACTATATTTTCTTGATTTTACCGAGGTTGGGATATGACGGAGTACCTCTAAACTGTGTAAAGATTTTTTATAGGTATATATACTGATATTGGTATAGTTTGCCCGTCCGACCAAGCGTAGGTATTACCTACCTATGTTAAGATAACTCTATTGATAAGTTAAATACTGTGTTGGTACAAAACATTTTTTAAATAGTTTTTAAAAGATATAAATAATGAATTTGATTCGGTTTAAAACCAAACTCACACCCTCGTACTCTCGTTGACACCGTGGGCACCTGACGGCCTTGAAGACATAACGTTGTCTCTTTCATGCGCAAGTAAAACGAACGGCATTGTGTTAATGATGTCTTCTAATCTAGTGTGTGTAATATAATATAATAAATAAGTATAGGTAGGTATACCTACATACTTAAGTTTTCGTGTAGTAGGTAATGTAGGTTTTTTGATTGATTTTCTATAAACTAATTAAAATGATAGGACATGATGTCAGGTCCCCAAAATTGCCCACAATGAAGTGTAAAATATTTTTGTAGGCGGTTTTCAACCGTTTAAAAAGATTCATTTGGGGTTTAAAACGGCAACATTTTCTTTAAAACGTTTTAAATCGTTTTTTTACATCTAGAATTATGTCACACAGACCGAGTGTGTGTAATGTTTTTTTTTTTTTCACGTTAGTCACCACGGAGAGGTTTTCGTTTCCTTCCAATCACAGAACTAGCTTTAACAAAAAAAGTCAGGGCTTTGTAATAACCATATAATATATGGTTATTACAAAGCCCTGAAGCAATATAATATATTGTGTTAAACTGGTTGCCTTACATCTGTTCAGTATCTTTTAAGTGAATAGCCAGAGTTTCACTAGTTTATGAAACCTTCAGTTGCTATGGTGATTTTATTAAAATAAAATAAAAACTTCAATGGTATTCATAATCTTTAAATATAATATAAAGTTTTAATCGTGTTTACTTCTGGGTCCTTTGTCAATAGATGCCGCAATGGTCGGTCGGCCTGCAGACATCATTAAACGTATAGTCTTAAATAAATAATTTCTGAATATTTCAATCTGGTAGCGCATGACAACATAAAATAATAAAAAAAAAAATGCGGAAATAAACGGTTTTATTGCCAAAAAATAACATAATGACGGTGCAGTTTCTATTAAAATCTTAAAAGTAATTAGCTAGATACCAGGTACATGTAGTTACACTACTCTTCACATCAATAATTGGATTAATTAGAGCAAAAATAAAATTGTGGAGCGTAACGTATCCTGAGTAAATATATAAATGATGATATAGTAATGTCGCACGATCGCAGTTATGCTACGCCTCAGGATTTTATCTTAGTATGGTCCGATAACTTTTACGGTGTAGGTAGGTTTCATTTGATATCTATTTAGGATTCGTAAAAATTCATAATTAGTCAACAGGAAGGTGAAATTGCAATTATTAAATTTTACTTAAATAAGGCAAGCTGAATAAAACCGTTTAAATAATAGGGGTTAAAGTATGAAATTGCCGTTGTATATTATATACGTATGTAGACTAAAGATACTTTGAATTGACATACAACCTTTATGTTTTTCTATTCTTCCTTAAAAAAATGTGCAACATTCGATTTTCGACTTTCAATTGCTTTTTTTTTAAAATTCAGCTTAGACGTGTAAAATGGATACTTCGAAAATCCGTGTCATTTTTGAATACAAGTTCCAACGCGGAACTAACACGGCAGAAAAGGAGACTGCTAATGAACGTACTGTGCGTTTCAGGTTTGAACGCTTTCGTAATGGAATATTGGATCGAATTGTGACATGTGACGAAAAGTGGATTATTTACGATAACCGTAAGCGAAAAATGCAATGGCTGACCCCAGGTCAAACGCCACAACAGTGCCCTGAAGCAAAATTTATCAATAAAAAGGTAATAGTAACTGTTTGGTGGTCTCATGCTGTTATTCACTATAGTTTTTTCGGATCTGGTCAGGCAATAACAGCAGATGTTTACCGTGACGAACTTCGAACAATGATGGCGAAACTGGCAGTGAAACAGCCCCTACTCGTGAATCAATCTTCACCATTGTTGCTCCAAGATAACGCAAGACCTCACACTGCACGAGCAACCGTTGTAACTCTACAGGAGATGCAGTTAGAAACCATACGTCATCCTCCGTACTCGCCAGACCTTGCTTCATACTTTAACCACTAATATATACTTTCGCAATTTGACAGTAGGTAATTTCCATAAACAGTAATAAAATATAAGAACGCTTCATCAATGGTATTAACAATTTTTAGCGTTGTGAGAAATCTGTTTTTAAACAAATAAAATAATAATGAAACTAAAAAAATTAACAATTTAGATATTAGAAACGTTTTTTTTGTAGCTTCGTCTATAACGAAGCACGAATAAGCCTTAATTTTATATACTTACTCGCATTATAAAGTTATCGTAATTAAATTTATCTAACTACTACTGCTTGCTGGTGTTCGTCGGGTGTCGGATAAGAATTTAATCGGGTATTGAGAAGATTTACTCCAGACATCGGACAAACCTGAACATTACTCTCGTACACGGGTCGAGATCTGAAGAACCTAGTCTTCTTGAGACGATTTATATTAGGCGTACCGGAAAACGATTCCCACGAAACCAGACAATCCGAAAAAAAACTGAATCGACGAAAAGTTTATATGAATTTTATTATCAAGAGTCTGAAAAATGTGAACTGTATAGATGTTCGACACTCGACGAATTTAAACGAGCCCTAACGCAAGGTTGCCCATCTTGCTATGCAGGGAACTTTTGATTACTAGGTTTTATTTAATATTTTATTTCTAACAATCAGTCTATATATTCGAATTATTTACTCGATGCAGACCCAGTCATAAGTCATGAAAGCGGGACAACAACATTGAGCTCTCTCTCTCTCTCCCACTTCTACAACTGATTCAACATCCTTCTTATTGCCTTTCCTGTTGGTTTTAGGAACGAGTATGAACCAGTCTGCCGCAACTATTTTACCGTCCCGCATAATATTGTCTATCTTGTATTATCCTCAATCCTGTTCTGTGCCTTGGCGTGTGTGATAACCAACAATATTTGGAGACAGTTGCCCTTGCCTCGCTGTTGGCTTATAAGAGATTATCATTACTGACATCTATTTGGAACTAAATAAGAAACCAAAAAAGTTTGTTGTGCAAGAGTAATAAATAAACAGTGTGGCCGTGTAGTAACTGCGATGAGGTGGAGTGATGATTTGCCCAAAACCATCATCATCATCAACAGCCTATACTAGTCCACTGCTGGACATAGGCCTCTCCTTAGAAAGGAGGTTTTGGCCTACTATACCACGCTGGCCAGACGGGTTGGTATAGGGTTTGTTTCAAGTTTTCCTTCTCTTTGCAGTGCTGTTGTCCTGCTTAGTTTGCTCAATTAGTCGGCTCTTACGACACTCACGGGATGAATTGGGGCGGTGACAATTTGTATTCTTAATCCATCACCACACGGAATTGCGCAAAACGGTGGGCAAAAATTAGATCAGAGAGCTGATGATGAGCTAAGTCTCTTAAATTAGAAACGGGATATGTCCAACAGTGGACATTGAAATTGATGTAGTGTAAAAACAGTTGAAGTAGACATGGATAGCTCAGTTGTAAGTCCTTAAAAGGCCACTAAACGACTTATTAGCGAGTTACGAGAAATGAGCATAGACATTGTAGAGTAAATCGACGATAGGAAACGATAACTCAACAAGATGTCGGCATTACTGTTGTTAATATGTTGGAAAATTGCAAAGAAAAACGATGCAGTCACCCACATTCGTGAAGTGGCAGATATGTTAAGCAAGTTACAGGCTGGTTCAGACTTCTAGAACTTCTAGAGCTTCAAAATGGCTAAGAACACAGCTGATAGCTTAGCTTTTAGATATTAATTCTTATTTTTAGTTTACTTTTAATGTTAATAACGAAATAACGCACATCAAAACAGTCCTTAATAAAATTTACTTAATATTGTTATCTGTTGTTAACGTTGAATAACTATCTGTTGTTTTATAAAGTGGGTTTGTTTTTGTCGATTTCTCACAAGGCTTTACAATTTTTAAACAAGCGGTTTAAGGCCGATACAGGCAGATATAGTATTATCTTCTATCTAATTTTTTTTTGAGAAGATTTATTTATAAATTGTCGATTTTTGATTGATTTTTTTTTAACAATTTTATGAAACAAAGGTATTGAGTTTCTTTTATAATAAGCTGAGCTGAAAATAAATCGTAAACTCAAATCTTCGCAGAGCACTCCTGGTTTTGCTGCGAACAAAACTCTTTTGAGTCAAACACTAACTTGTTAAATTAACAAGGAGTATAGCGGTATTTATAATCTTCCATCATCTCATATTTACATATATGTGAAAGTATATTCGACTGAAATTATATCTACTTCAATTGATTGTAAATCAAGCAGTCTTTGAAAGAAACATTTAAAAAGCTATGATAAATCATTAAAAAACATATACATAACAATAACTTATAGGATCACTTATATTGTGCTAAAGGGGTTCTCATAAATAAGTGAATTATACATACAAATAGTTGCACTATGTGAGCATTCATTGCATCCACAGAGGTAGACACGGTGACGGTCATTCAACCTAGGTTTGTGGATTTATTCACATTGCATTATTATAATATTAAAACCTTAAAATATTCAGTGATTAAAACTTGTAAACATCGGGATGGATATCCTTACTTTTAATAAAGATATTTATCACTATTACACACTATACAGTCCCTTTGCGTTAAGAAAATAGTGACGTATCGATCAAGCTCCACACCCTGACCAATCAGGTTCCAAGCTTTTCTACGAAACGCTAATTTCTTAGAACCTATGGATACCGTTAAGAAAATATTGCGTCACTATTTTCTTAACGTGAATGGACTATATTTAGACATAACATTACAAATCACAGCGCGTAGACCACAAACGCGTGACCATAAGCTTGCTTCGGCAAGATACCTCTTGTGCTTTGCACTCTGGCTCTCCATTAATCTTTTGAAATTTACTACATAGTCCACTGAGGTTTTTCGTTCATTGGTACTGGCTTGGGGCACTAGATGACACTTTCTCTAGTTTTTCAAAGTGTTTCCGCGCATTTCTGATGTTGATTAAAGTAGCTTCCGAAGGTATTTTGGGGTCGGACATCTCGACCATCACATATGTGTTGCTTGTGAAGCCATCTATGAATGCTGCGAATACGCTGTTGCGGACCTGAACACAAAGATAATATTGTAAATATTTCTTACATGATCGCTATGTCCCCTCGAGTAATATTTGTCTGATGTTAAAAAAAAGATTTTTAATTGCTATATTTATTTTAATGTGTGATGTGTGTTGTGTGTAATGTGTGTTGAAACCACAGGGCGTCACCGACTAAAACCACATGGTATGCATGAGGTATAGGCTGATTTTCCATTTTAGTCGAGTATCGAACATAAATACTATTTGATTTTTTAAATTTCGATTACAAAAGTATTTGGGAATGATCGATTGCCACACATTTTACCCACAAGCTGCTTATTTACGTCTTAAAGCAAATACTTTCTACTGTGTCCTTAATTCGTTAGTGACAAAGATAAAGTTAGGCAAAGAATGATAGTTTTCACAGGTACTCACCTCCATGCTCTGGAATTGTGCAGCGAGCTTAGAACAAGAGAGCTTGAATTGTTTGACGATGTTCGAGACCTTTTCGAAGCGATGGGCGTCACGGTGCGGTCGCTGTTGGCAGTGAGACACGACCAGGAACGTGGCCCGCTCGAAAAGTAACACCTGCATTTCAATTTATCTATTATATGTTTGCATTTAGATATATTTAAGTATGTTTATCAGCAGTAACAGAAAATGAAGTGTAATTCAGCTTGTACCTAAAAGTTTTATCGAAATTTTGTCTGTTGTATTAGAACTATTATATACTTATAGTCAGGTCGATGCTAGAGGTTTTCATTTCGATTCTGGATGGAATTTAAGAAATCTGGCGAAAACTGAAGGTCACTGCACACATAATGGCCCATTAAAAAGTCAGAATGGACGAGGTCGAGAAGATACTTTTCTATTGCGAAATAACTTTGAAAACTGTTTTTTTTTTCAGTTATCTCGCAATATCTCGAAAATAAAGCATTGTAACGAAATTTTCAGTGGGTCAGCTGTTGATTTTCCGTAGGTATTAAGTATTTTAAAGAGTTGGCGCAAAAAAACTCTCGTAAACATACGGTAAAGTTGTAAAAAGTGAAAAACAAAAAATAGAAAAAAAAAAAATGAAGGAAGAAATCGTTGATATTTAGGTATTAAATAGGTATTAGTATTTTTAACAAAAAGTACCCGTTCCGCTTTTTCAAAAGCAGTTTGGCGACCTATTGCAAAATTGTTAATTTGAAAGTTTAGAACGCTGTAAACCCTGTTGCCGAAAATGGAACTTGATGACACCAATTGGAATCGGCCTTGACACACAAGGAAAACACTCAAGGTTGCGATCAAGGTCAATTTTAAGGTCGCCAATGGATAGCCAGGGAAAATTCCAGTAACTTTAGTGTTGAACGTATTTCAGAAAAATGCATCCCTAGCAAATTATCCTGCTGTTCCGGTACTTTTCTAACACCCGGTATATTATACCCGGCGTGTGCGACTATGTTAAAAAATATACAATTTGTTTATTTGTTTTGAAAAAAATAAATTTTATTTTGTTTGTTTTATTAACTTTTTTTATCTTAATGCTAGTGGATAAACAATGTATCAAATTCTTCTTTTGTTTTTTTTAGTGTTCTAAAACCATATTTATATATAAATTAGTACATAATTACTTTGCAATCAGAAATATCATATATTTACTATAGAGCCTGCTATTAGTAGTCGGAAGTACTCAGAGTAGAATCAATATATCATTTTACTAAGACAGTACTCTGTCAATTCAATAATAAAAATATACTATACCTCATCAGCGTCCACAATTTCAGCGAACTGTTTCAATGACGACTCTAATGCTTTAACATTAGGTATTAATTTGTATACTATGCTGGACCATGCTCTGAAACATGACACAGTATAATTGACAGTAAATGTAACACTTTGGTATCATTATGATAAAGTAAACATTATGTATATTTGTGTTAAATAGTTGCTAGATATCGTTACTAGAACAGTTACCATTTATGTCTGTACCTATCTATTTATGTCTGACTACCTTGTGCCCACGACTTCGTTCGCGTGGAATTTGAAAAGCGCTGCCTTAGTAGGTTTGATTCCCCGTACTTGGCAAAATTTTATAGGGTTTTTCTGAGAGAAGAAATAGCCTAAGTTACTCCTTATATAGACAGTTAAATGGTAGTAAAATATTATCAAAATCGGTAATTTAAAGATTACCCAGAACAAACAAGAAATATTTAAACTGGTTTTTAGGCATAGGTATAGTGCAAATAACCGCCTGAGCATAAAAATACCTATTATTTTGACATTGCAAACAGACACTTCAATTATATTTAGTTGTATAGATGTATGCATAAAGACACACCACACCAATTAACTTTAAACTATTTGATACAGTGTCTCTCAAAAGGCCAACTGTTTCTGTAAACGCATGTAAAACGCCAGATAACGCAAGTTATTAGTATTAACACAGAGTACAGAAACATAATCAACAGACTAAGCTTTAGTGGTTTGAGAGCCCTGCTTTGACACATATGGGCCAGGCGTAACCAGAGTAATACCACAGCCTCATAGAAAACCAGTGTTGAGCATTACTTTCTTTGTTTTTTATCAAGTGAGTGAGGTTATTGGAGCCCAAACTCCCCCTCTCCTGATTCTAGAAAAGGGGGGGCCATGCATGCTACTTTTAAGGCTAAATGGGCCAGTTTGATTTATATCAAACTTGTAATACCACATTATTCACTACCCCATTTAAAGCAAATAACTTTTACAAATATCAATGTGTAAAAGTAAAAAGAAAATAATAACATACTTGTATAATGTCTCGTCCCATATACTAGTTCGAAAGCAGGTGCACTCAAGTGGTTTAGATAACCTCTTTAAATCCTCCTCTCTCTCTTTGAAGATCTCTTCACGTTGCTCCTCTGGTACCAAGTCCATTTTGTGTACCAAACAGAATATTCGTGCCTCTGGTGAATTCTATAATATTTCAAATATGTTAGGTTACTTGTTAAATAGGGTAGCTAATAGATATAATATTACTCTACACATAGAAATAGAAGCTATTATTTTTGCTAAGATTGTATTGTAAAAATTTCAAGTACGTTTCACAAGTTCCTTGCCGGACGACAGTGTGGGCCCCGCCCGGACAATATCGCAGCGAATGTTAGAATAAAGGGAAGCATATACAGACGCGCGCAAGTGCACACGTCCGTCAAAAGACCGCAAATAGTCATGATTGTTATTGCTTCAGGGGTCAGTAAAATATTTTATTTAGGAAACAGTAGGACACTATTAGAGACAGTCTTGTGCATATACATATGCAATGTACAGATAGCTTTTGTTTGTTGGTTTAGTTATACCATTTATAGCTCAAGAAGGGCTGCACTGGTTTTTATGATGTTTATTTTTTTTGTCTCCGCCTCAGATAGCAAAATGAAAATACCCATCTATTAAAATATTTGAATAATTGATTTTCGCATATGTTTGAAATTTAACATAGGTGAAGAGCACAGCTGTGACAAAAAACGAAGGTGGAACTGCAGGGAACTATTTGTAGTTACTAAAAAGTTTTATGTTTAATGATACCTGTAATATAGCTTCCAAACATGACTGATAATAGTGCATATCTTTCTCCATCTCTCTGCTTTCAACATCAAAGACATATATCAAGACTTCCACATTTCTAAAGATATTGTCCCGTTGTGATGCAAAGTAGTTCTCCATGAACGCTTCCTGCCCTCCACAATCCCACAAGTTAAGGACCAAGTTGCCCAGGAAACGGACATGGGAGTGTTCAACATCAACTAAAAAATAAGAAAAGAGAAGTAGAGAAAAGGCTTTTATTCTTTTCATTGCATTATTAAAAGTATTGTCATTCTCAAAAAAATATGACAATCAATAGTAACATACCTATGTTATTTTCTAACATTAATATGATATTTAATATGGTTTTTTATTAACATGAAAATTATGATTTAACTTGTAATTATATAGTTTATATGCAGTGTTTTTCATTAAACTGAATATTTTACCCAATTCTCTACACATTACTCAATAATTTATGTATTTTTTAGGTTAAATGACATCAATACATTTAATGTCAGTGACATTTACACAAAGTGTGAAATTATCATTAGGTTCAGTTGTACTTTGTATTTAAATACCAATAAATTATAAATATTAGAACTTGTGGTAATGTTGCATTGTTTTATACAGAAACCCTGAACTTACTTGTAGCACCCAGTCGCCTGGTATCTCTGGCGATGTAGTTGGCAAATATTATTGATCTCATACTTGTCTTCCCCGACCCGCTTTTCCCCATCAATAACACCTTAAACAATAGCAATAAAAACAATAAAAATCAGTAATAGAACAAAATTATTTTGACCAAAATATGTCTATGTACATATCTGAGAAAATACATATTTTATATAAACTTTATTATTAATACGCAACGCACTTCTTGTAAACAAGCAAAACTATTAAAATACGCACCTTTTTCTTCATCTTGACTAACTTTTACTGGGTCAAGAAACTTATAGTCCTAAGTTAAGCAATTTACTAAAAAAATTCAAATAAAAAGGCATGGATCAATATACAATGTGGGTTGATATATCAGTACTTATTGATAGAAGTTATATGGACTGCAAAAGTAAATTAAAAATGGAAAATAAAAGGAGGCGTATTTCACAATCATGACAAATGACAAAGAGAAATGATGACATATGAGTTATGACATCTATCACGACACGACAGATAGTGCTACAGTTCAAAAACGCAATATAAAGCTTTCGTTGATACATAGTAAAATTTAAATCTTATTGCTAAGTAAAAATAGTCAAAAAGCCTCATGAGCTTCTCATTTTCTCAATAGGTTATTTTCTACGTTTAATTATAATATAATATTGAAGTTATGCCCTACGTTTTTATTTTAAGTACGTTTTATAAGAAAATTCGAGTTGGTAACATTGAACATACAGCTTAGAAAATATTGTCAATAATACCATGACGCCGTCATGGGATTTGTCATCGTCAACTTTATTGTCAAAAGTTCTGTAAAGATTTGTGGAAACGTTTGATTTTCTCTAAGTATTTTTGGACAGTATGTTAGAATTCTTTTTCACGTAAGGTAAAAATTTCTTGAAATTACTAAGCAAAATGGCTCGACATCGGGACGTGAGAAATAGGACATTTTCCGATGACTACGACTACGACGATATTTACGGTAATTCAGTAGAAGATGAAAGTTATTTGTCGCCTAGTGATAGTTCTCAGTGGATTTACGATCGAAGTCGAAATCAACAGGCCATAGCACACTTTATGGAGAGCCACAATAATATTCAGGAGGAAGCTGAAGAAGATTTAGCCGCCTCGAGCCATTCCACACTCGATAGACGAGACTCTGTAGATTTACGCAGCCTAAATCTGGATGAGGAGGAGGAAGCCAAACTCATGTCATGTTTAGATGAGCTAAGAAATGTTATTGGTGAAACTGTTGCTGATAATATACTCATACAAACTGTCATAAAACACAAATTTGACTGTGCCAAATCCCTTGACGAAATTCTCAACAGAAAAAGTAATGAATCTGATGTACCGAAGTCTGAGCCTGTAAAGACTCAACCAATTGTTGTAATAGATTCAATTAAAGCTCCTGTTATAACAACTGTAGAAAATACTCCAAAACTTATAACAACAAATATTGAAGCAAAGAAAGTTGGTATTGTCAAAGGATTTAAAATTAGTCAAAATAGCAGTTCAGGCAGCGGTCCTCAGACACCTCGAGACCAGTCCCCATGTACTGAGAGGGTATCAAGGACTGAACAAGCTGATGAAGTAAGAGTGACACCTAAAGTGAAGGAGAACAAACTTGATCCAAACACTCAATATTCAAACGAGAGAGGGTCAGATAAAGACCACTTATACATAGTCATCATTGGTCATGTTGATGCTGGAAAGTCTACTCTCATGGGACGATTGCTCTGTGATCTGGGTGAAGTGAGTAAAAAAACATTGCATAAGTATGAGCAAGAAAGTAAGAAAATTGGAAAACAGAGTTTTATGTATGCCTGGGTGCTAGATGAGACTGGCGAGGAGAGAGTCAGAGGCATCACAATGGATGTAGGAAGAGCACAATTTGAGACTAAGACTAAAAAAGTAATTATTCTTGATGCACCTGGACATGCAGATTTCATTCCTAATATGATAACTGGTGCTGGACAAGCCGATGTTGCATTGCTTGTAGTTGATGCTACTAGGGGAGAATTTGAGTCAGGTTTTGATCTTGGTGGTCAGACAAGAGAACATGCTCTTTTAGTGAGATCTCTAGGTGTGAGTCAACTGGCAGTGGCTGTTAATAAATTAGACACAACTAATTGGTCAAAGGAGCGGTTCAATGAGATTACTAAAAAGCTGAAAGTCTTCCTGAAGCAAGCTGGTTTTAAGGACTCTGATGTGACTTATGTTCCATGTTCAGGGCTAACTGGTGAAAACTTGATAAAACCACCTACAGAGGCTGAGTTATTGAATTGGTATGACGGACCCTGTCTTCTAGATGTTATAGACAAATTGAAAGTACCTGATAGACCTGTATCAAAACCATTACGTTTATCTATTAATGATGTTTATAAAGGTACAGGCTCTGGGTTTTGTGTAGCTGGCCGTATCGAAAATGGCATCATCAATAAAGGTGACAAAGTATTGGTTTGTCCAAGTAAAGAAATGGCAGAAGTTAGAGGCATAAGTATCAATGAGATGTCAAGTAATGTTGCTTTTGCTGGTGACCAAGTGAGTGTGACACTATCAGGAGTGGACATGCAAAATGTTTTAATAGGATATGTGTTGAGTGATCCTGTCCAACAAGTACCTGTAACTACAAGATTTGAGGCTAGAATTGTGGTATTTAATGTAAAAGTACCAATTACAAAAGGATTTCCCGTTCTTATTCATCACCAGTCCTTAGTGGAGCCTGCAAATATAATCAAGTTGAAATCATTGTTAAATAAAAGTACAGGAGAGTTACTAAAGAAGAACCCTCGTTGTCTGGGTAATAATTGTGTAGCAGTGGTTGAGATCGAGGTTAGCCGGCCCATTTGTGTAGAAAGATACAAGGATGTCAAAGAACTAGGGCGTGTAATGCTCCGTGTTGGTGGTACAACAATTGCTGCTGGTCTCATCACTGATATAGTAAACACTTGATTGATACCATTAGATATTATATTTTAATACTAGTTAAAAGCATCTTGCATCAGCAAATAAGGTTTGATGCTTCAACCATTGTGACATTCTAACCTGCTAAGACTAAAAGCAACTTCAACATTGGTTTAATAGAAACCATATAATATCCAGTCTGCCATCAAGTTTGCAACACCCTTGAAGTGGTGTCTGGTAAATTTGACAGTGACTTTGATGCTGTAAAGTTGATGGTAAACTGGATTGTGTAAGGGTCTTCAAAGATATGTTTTTGCTGTCATTTCCTGTTAATGTACCTAAATATGTGCCTTGCATTACTTATATGTAACCAAAACCATTTAAGCCAAATATTATTAAATCTTCTTAGCAGGGTAGCATTGACAATTTCACCCAAAAAAATTCAGTTGTCGAATTAGTAAAATTAGATGAAAAATTATATTTTTGTTGTTAGCAACACATTGCTGCGAGGTGGTAATAATGTGATTTTGCAGTAAATATATGTCTGGACTAAATGTAAAATAGGCATAGCTGCCTAGTTTCATATTAGGCCTATCCTCTACTTGGCATAAAGAACATTAAATAACGTATTTCCTCTATAAACAATGCCAAGATTTATTGTTTATACTTTCAAATAAATGCCAGATAAATGAACATATTGCGCTTGTTACCTGGTGCACTGCTCAGGAGTGGTGTACAAAAATGTTTTGTGCTATATTTATAACAAATTGATATATTATTATTTATGTCAATAAATATGTTGAAATAGTTGGCTTTTTGTTATTTTATTAATTAATTTCGAGAATTGTTCAATGAAGGCTTGGATAAGCTTTACTAGTGAAAGGCAAACATGCACAATGCCAATAAGTAAATAAAAATTTCGGACATCTGACACACAACGCCATCTAGTTTCAAACTAAGCAGAGCTTGTCCTTTGAAAGTAAGATGCTGATAAAATACTTATAATACTTTTTTTTGTAAATTCATACATATAAAACACCCAACCGCCGTAAAAAATATTTGCAGATCATACATTGATGTCTTGGGCTTGAGCATAATTTACAGCTCTCTTGTTGCAAAGGGGTCTCTGTCACGCACCCCATTGTTTATCTGTAATTGCGTAATTAATAGCCTATTCATTTCACCCTAGTGAATTTTAGTGTTCGTCAGGGTAAGATATTGTAGTGTGTGTAGATTACATGTATTGCAGATGGAGAGATATGTAGATACTCGGGGCTGTAGTTTAACCTTTTCTGATCGTCACCATCTCTACATGTTTTTTCTCTATAAACATGTAGAAAACTACTGCTTGCTTGAGATTATTATTCAATGCGTGTAATGATTAACGAGTCTATTGATACAACAACAACCGCATTGGGCTTTCAATGGTTCCATTCTCTGTTCTGTGCTTACAACCAGTGGCGTAGCTACCGAAAGGCTAGACGGTGCTGTGCACCGGGGCCCCCAGGCTTCGGGGGGCCTCGGACCCTGACCAGCAAATCTCGTATTGAATTAGCTTAAAATTCTCCCACCTTTGGAATGTAAATAAAATAAGTTGCAACACGATTTTAAGGTACTACTGCCGGTCAGTGCTACCTTAAAAAAAAAAAATATACCAAGTTTTTTTTAAGTAAATAGTTTTTTGAAAAACTACAGAGAACCAGTAAAAAGATAATGATTCTTGTTTTTTTTTGCAAATATGGAGGCTTATGGGAAATCACAGTTTTAATTTCATTTTATAAAAAGTTTCGTGTGGATTCCATTCAAGATTGAGAAAATGAGATTTTTTTTTTGCACCAGGTCCTTTGGCAATCTAGCTACGCCTCTGGTTTTCAACGTCTTTACTAGGTCGCTTTACATACCTATCATATTGGACGCTAGCATAATGTATTTTTTCTAAAGTTGAAACCTTTTTTCTCATATCTAATTTTAAATAGTGCATTTTACGCGACCTGAGAAATCCGTTAGCATGGTTCACACAGGATAAAAATTACCGAACTCCCGATTCAAAACTAGAAATAAACATTATAGAGCCATTTAAAAAAAAAACCTGTTACTTAAGAAGATTGAGGCTAGTGCGTGTACACAAAAATGCAGTTCCGACAACTGCAGCTGTAGTTGAGATTACTCTATAAGTTGTAGTAATAGCCCAGGATTGTCCAGTCAAGCGGACTATACGGTGCAACGTTGTGAGCGGAAGCTCTGATCGCCCAGAATAAAGCTACCAGGTGCTGACCCTCAGAGGGTGCTGGCGCATCTTCCCTATGAGATTTAAAGGCAGAAATAGGTGGCTAAAGACCGCTTGCTGAGCCAAGATGACTCGCTCCACATGCTGGCTTTAGCGGCGTGGTGGTGGTACAGCCGGTCATCGTCTAGTGGGCAGGGTGAGATTGACGCAGTTCTTTTCTGGGTACGTCTACTTGGAGAGGTACCAGCAGTGAATTGAGTTGCACCTGTCGTTTGAACTCGGCTCAGCACACACTGGTCAACGTAGTGTCGGGCGCTCGTTGCGGACATCGGAGAGGATTTCTCGCTACCAGCCTACACGCTCTACTTCTGGCGCGCCTTCAAGCGCCTCGTGAAGCCCTGAGTGTGGTGAGTGTGGTGGAAGGGTTTACCCCTCCACTCGCCACGAAGACCTACCGCGAGGAGGTAACGTCCGGTGAATCCGCCTCTGACCGCACTAGGAATACATTCTGTGTCTCAGGGTGACTTTACACACATTTATGAAACGGACACAAAAAAAACCTAGACTCAGAAAACCAATTTGCTGGTGACACAAAGTGTTGTCCTATGTGGGTATCAACCCTCCCAACACTCATCGCAGTAAGAAGCGGCCTCCTTACGCTAACAATTTACGGCGGAGCTAGTAAAAAATTAAAATTAAAAGTAAAAAAAGGATTATTTTTTGCGTACATGATTTCTGGCAATATATCATCATCATCAACAGCCTGTAACATTCCATTGCTGGCCATAGACCAGAATAGACCTCTCTTTAGAAAGGAGGTATTTGTCACATGATATAATAACTTTTTTTTTTTTTTTGATTTTAAAAAGACAACTCCCGCATTTGGAATACATTCCTGTGTCGCGGGGGACTTTACAAACATACATGAAACACAACACAATGAACACCCAGACTCAGAACAACAATTTGTGGATCACACAAAGTGTCGTCCCATGTGGGGTTTGAACCCACAACACTCGGCGTAGTAGGAAGCGGCGAGGTGACCGCTTAAACCACTACGCCATCCGTGCAGTCGACATACAACTAACATGATATAGTAACACATCTCTTCTATAGGTGCCGAAAAATTATTTGAAATACCGACATTTAATATGATAACATAGTATCACAACAAAGTAATAAAATAACATATAAAAATATTTGTACATGCGCACCTCATTTTTTCTGTGCGGTAATCCCCTCGGATACCACCCACCGGTCAAGTAGTTATGTCGTCCTCAAACAGAACAAAAACCGCACGCCGTCTCCGGCGGAACTCCGGAACCAGGTGTACCCTAGGAAGGAAATCCCTAGTACCCCGACGTAACCCGGGCGATCTACGGCGTGTAGATGACCCCCTTATGTGTGGGAACCCCTATGTCCCCTTTTGCCCCAGGCCTGCACTTATGGAGGACGGCGACCTCCGGCACCTGAGTCGTCTGCCCTGTTCCCGGGCCCGACGAAACTTTTCTCCAAAACCTTATGTATAAAACAAATTTCAATTAATGTGAATAGATATTTATCCCTTTTCCTATCCACATTTTTTCGCTTATCCTTTTGTGTGAAAGTATGTATTTCTTAGTTAAGTCTTGTTATTGTTATTGAAACTCTCAAGTTTAGTGCACCTAATCACCCATCTCTACACCGACCCAAGATTGACTGGCAGAGAGAGAGCCTATGTCATTAAGTCCACCTTTGTGCAATTTTTTTTGTGCATAAAGCATTAAATAAATAAAACACTCATATCATGACGACTACTTGTTTATTATATTATAGGAGCCATAAAGCCAATTAGACAACTACGCCATTGATACTATTTTAGTTAGTTGTTTATGTAAGCAACTTTAAGTTTACAATTCAGCCATAATAAAACATTTTAGATATAAACTTTTACAAAAACATAATATTGCACTAGACGACTGCAAACGTTCGCCCTAAGTTGATTGCAGTACATAACAAGCTGTCGTCAGCAAACTACTTATCTAAATTAAATCTTTTGGTCCTGGCAACAGTTTCCTTGTCGCTATGTTACTTATTCCTTTAACTGTAACAGTATTACTCAGACTTGCATAACCTCGTACTACAATATATAGTATTTTGTATTATTTGTATATGTATACCTAATGAAAATAATAAGATGTTATTCTTTAAAAATTACCTGTTCCACCTACAAAGCTCAAAGTGATCATTTTACATTCATGGTCTAATTTGTATATATTGTGACAATCAACGAAAATAAATTTAGATATATGGTCGTTGTGTGCAACCGAAGTTAACATCGATTCTGAGTACTGTCGAGCTCGCGGCGAACTTGTGAAGTTTAATTTCCCGCTAATTTCCCACCAGTCGTAGCAGTTTAGAGTTTGTGTTTTGAATTACTTCTGCACCTCTTTTCATGGGATCCATTTTTAAATTCACTTTTTTCTGAAAATCCTGTTTTCATCCTTGGAACGCGTTGATAAATTCCACAATTTTTATTTTCTGAGTGCCCAATTCATTACTCTTGATGGTGTCGTGAATTGCAAGAGTTCTATTAATTAAAAGTTGAAGCCTTTTCAGCATTTCGTAAGTTGTTACTAACTTAACGGTTGGAAATTAAGGAGCATCTGAACTTTTGTTGTACTTAGAAGTGGTCGTGGCGAAGCGCCTCTTAAAATGTTTTTAGCAAAATTGTTACGACCGTTTAAGTTTTAGGTGATTAGAGTAGGTCGAAATTGTTAAACTGAATAATAAGAATTGAGTTTATATTGTCTCAATATAAAGTAGAACTTTATTTCGGGAG